CATTCATCTTCTCCTCTCCATCTCTCCCTCTCTCTGTCGGCAGCAACAAGAAGAAGAAAAGAAAACTCCAACTCCATGGTAGTATGTTAAGGAAGAAGAAGAAGGAGCAAGAAAACCATTCAAGTGTCCAAAATCCTGAGCATAAGACAATCAGTCCACTTGTGAGTCAATTCTGAAATTTTCCGTTCATTTTCTCAAAATGTTTATTATACCAAAGTTGTAGCCCCGGACTTTACGAATCCAACCCAACAAACGGCTCGCGATTTCGTTAAGTAACGAAGAAGATATGGCCAAAATACCGGGATTGCGCCAGTGGTGGCGAGCTCCTCGGGTTGGCATGTTTTTCTTCACCAAAATTCATATTATTTCATCCCAAATACTTACCATAAACTCTCTAACAATTATTAGGAACATCCGGAAGGTATTGCAAAGAAAGTTTGGCGTTGGAATGTTGAAGTTAGTGAGTTAATCGTCGGAATCATGTTCATCGACATACCCGAAATTATGGACAGCAACTTTCTATTGACTTCAGGTCCAATTTACGCTATCTTACATATGTTAAAACGAAATACTTTCTTATGAATCCACAGAATCAAACGGTTTGCAATTTCGTGAAGAAACGATGGAGATATGCCCAAATTACCGCAGGCTGTCCAGTTGTGACGGAAATGACAAAGTTGGCAAATTTCGATGTTGTTTTCACTCCCGCTCATCTGTAAGGTTTCAGCCGATGATTTCCAGGTCTGTACCCTTGCGTTAGACTTGTCGAATCATTCATCACATACATACATGAACATTTATGTTATTCCATATGTTAAAACCATTCCAAAATATATATGTGATGCATATACAAGTTATCTATATGTTGAGATTAAAATACACCAAATCCATAAAGTTAATATACACATAAGTAAATATAAACTCTGGAAATCAACCCAACAATATGTATATGTTAATCAAAGGTGCTTAAAAGACTTAAAGAAGTATTTTGGACACTCAAAATATGAAGAGAAAGATTCGCAGACCCAAACGGTCGACGCAAACAGTCGACCGTCGCATTAAACATCGAAATGGACCCCGACTGTCAGACAAACGGTCGACCGCCGGTGGCCAACGGTCGACCGTCGCCTGCCCAGCCGAGAATCGCCGTCGCCATCCAGTCAACAATGGTCGACCGCCGGTCAACCACAGTCGACCGTCACGGTGATCCGCCAATCCGACCTGATGAAGACCAAGGTCGACCGTCGCGCCAAACGGTCGACCGTTCCGAGCCCCGTAGCTTAATTAAATTATATTTTAATCATGTTTCATCCAAATAAACTAATGCATGATTATATATTCATATTGTTTACAAATTGTTCATGCCATATCATTCATTTCATCACACATATTGTAGCATATCATATCATATGCATGCGTGAGAGATCATGCGTAATTGCGTCTCTTATAGCGTGATGTGCGGGACATACTAGTCCGACATCACCCGTTCCGGGCTTAGTGTACGTACATGGTATTCAGGTTTCGAGTACCACCCCTATTTTTCTAGTCTCACCTCATTCGTGTGACTAAGGCCGCGTGAGTTCGTCGTACCAAATGGGCGAATCTCATAGCGCAAGGGTGTCCTTGCAAGTTATAGGATCATGCATCATGTTACCATCATCAAGAACAATCGAATTGATTAAATGTGAAATCATGTTATCATCATCAAGTACATTGATTACATAGGTGTCATGTAATCATCATCAAGAACAATCAAATTGATTAAATGTGAAATCATGTTATCATCATCAAGTACATTGATTACATAGGTGTCATGTAATCATCATCAAGAACAATTATATTGATTACATACGTGTCATGTAATCATCATCAAGAATAATTATATTGATTAAATATGCCATCAAGTAATTATCATTAAATATTTATCATCATGATTCATCAAATTGACCATATGATAATATGTGTCATATCATGAATGTTACAATACATTTTGTGGACGTATATATATGTATATGTATATGTCTGAGAATCATTCTACAATTCTAGTGTGGTACCACTCAGCGGTTTCGCTGAGCGTGTAGTTTGTATTTTTCGTTGACTACACGTAGGTAACAAGAAGACAATGATGGAACCACTCCCGGAGGGCATTGAGTCAGAGGAGATGCAAGGATGGCAGGCAAATGTTGATCATCAGATTTTTAAATGTGTCATGATTTGTTTATTGTTGTACTTCCGCATTACTCTGAAAATATTTTTAAATGGGTCGCGATCCAGAGTCTGTAAATTTGATATTTATAAGTAATTGTCATTTTCAAATGTCAAGCGAAATTTTTATTTTACTCTCGTTTCACCTTAATTCGTGTAATTCCGCGTTTTACGGATTGGGGTGTTACAGATTCAATTCACGAATTCATAAAGTAAGAAATCTTACTAGTTCTTACTCCAATATTATATATAGGTTGGGGATTTTCGCTCTGAATAATTTTAGCTTGATCCTTGTGACGTCATTTCTTCTCTGGTCGTTGCACATATATTCCTTTGTTGGGGTCAAAACAGAGTTTCTTGATAATAATCTTCATAGATAACGTAATCGCATTAACTGTTTCGCAGCAGTTCCCTAGAGAGGTTTAACATAATGTTCAAGTCAGGATAGTTTTACTATTGTGATCGAGTCACGTAGTTCACAGACTATAGTTTTCAAATATCGGTATCATGAAGCATCTTTGGTTTAATGAAGAATCGTGGTTTTAGTATTTTGACACAAAGAATGGAATTCAAGATTGATCAAGCGAGGTATTTCAAGGGTGTAGTTAACACAGCAAGTTGAGTCATTCAAGGATGTGAGTCACAAGATACAAAGATAGTGTTTGCGACTTACCATTACTAATCGTAGGTTTTCTTCCTTCAATGTTTCACTCTTTGGAAGTTACTCAATAGGTCGTTGTCTTAGGAATAGCCATTTTGACTTTTCGTCTCGGATTTGAACGTGTTTTAGGACAGCGAATCTAACTGTTCAAGAGTCTCAATACGTCATATTGTCAGCAGACTAGAGTATTAGCGAGTATGTTCTCGTCTGCAGGTAATTTGAATCCATTTTACTGTATGTATTTTGGCTGGTGATAATTACTTTTCCATCAATGGTCAAGTTCTAGAGACTATATATATCACGATTATGGGAAGAGTATCTCACATTCTCACATTATGGAAGGAACTTCTCGAACACTTCCTTACACCATAAGATTCGTTGGTCTTCTTGGCAGTCATTCTCTTGG